ATGGATCTTCAAGGGGATAATGAAGTGTGATTCTGTACACAGAGCTAGATTTCTGATGCTTGAGTGAAGAGCACATGCAAGGGACCCCAGGCCACTTGCTAGTTTGCCTTCCTCTTGCCCAGCAGCCCAGTGGTAGACTGGGTCTGCTAAGATTCCTGCATCTACTTGGCAGAGTGGACCTTTCTGCCCTCAGAGTCTCTGAGACTTCCTTTGTCTTTAAACTCAGGTTAAAGAGTATTGAGTGCTGGGCGCCAGTTGCTCACACCTGTAATCTTAGCTACTCAAGAGGCTGAGATCTGAGGATTGCGGTTCAAAGCCAGCATGGGCAGGAAAATCCGTGAGACTCTTATCTCTAATAAACCACTCAGAAAACTGGAAGTGGTGCTGTGGCTCAAGTGGTAGAGTACTCTCCTTGAGTTGAAGAGCTCTAGTTCAGGAGCCCAGAGTTCAAGCCCTACAACTGACAAAAAACAAAAACAAAACAAAGAATATTGAGTATGGTCTAGGCCGATGGCCACAAATTTTTTTCTTCACCAAGACAAATGGCATGCTTGTCAGAAGGCAGAGCTGACATGTTCTTTTCATTTGTTGGAACTGAAGGATCAAGTAGTCTTCCAGGTTTTCCAGTACTTTGCATGAACTAATTTACATGTATTGCTATGTTTATCCTTGTCTTTGTTTTACCTTTTTGTTTTCCTGTTTACAATATTGGAGCTGGAACCAGGGTCTTGTACATTCTGGCAAGTGGTCTACCAGTAAGTTTTGACCCTCGCTTCCTGTGAACTTTCATAGCTCAAATGTCATATGGTAAAATCTATTGTAGTCCACCTCTCTTTTTTCCCCCCACTTTGGTCCTATGGATTTAACTCATTCCCTATTGCATGCTTGACCAGCCCTGTATCCCTTGAGCCATAAACTTTTTTGTTTTCTTTCTTTTCTGTATTTGCCTCTTTTTTGCCATTCATGGGGCTTGAACTCAGGGGCCTGGGCACTGTTGCTGAGCTTCTTTTGCTCAAGGCTAGCACTCTACCCCTTGAGCCATAGTGCCATTTCTGGCCTCTTCTGTTTATGTGGTACTGAGGAATCAAATCCAGGGCTTCATGCATGCTAGGCAAGCACTCTACCACCAAGACACATTCCCAGCCCTTATTTGCTGCTTCTTTTTTTTTTTGGTCTGTTGTGGGGCTTGAACTCTGAGCCTGGCCATTGTCTCTGAGTTCTTCAACTCGAGGCTAGCACTCTACAACTTCAGCTACAGCACTACTGGTTTCCTGGTGGTTAACTGGAGATAAGAGTCTCATGGATGTTCCTGCCTGGGCTGGCTTTGAACCGTGATCCTCAGAGCTCACCCTCCTGAGGAGCTAAGATTATAGGCATGAGCCACTGGCACCTGGATTTGCCTCTTCCCTCTCTAACCCCCCCCCCCCCGCTGTTAACAGGCCTTGAACTCATAATCTTGTGTTCTGATTAGGCTTACTTGCTCAAGGCTGGCACATAACTACCATTGCCATGCCTGGGATTTGCCATTTTCTTGACTGATTGGAGAATAATGTTTAAACTTTTTTTCCCTGCCTGGCTTAGCTCATCACTCTTCCAGGTCTCTGACTCCTGAATTACTAGGTTCCCAGACATCATCCGTCAGCACCCAGATATATTTTATTCATGAGACAAGATCTTTTCCATTTGGCTAGTTTGGCCTTGTAGTTGAGATCCTCCTGTGTCTGTCAGCCTTCCATTCAGTATCTGGGAATAAAGGGAAGAATCAAAACATCCAGTTCAATTCTCTTCGTTGAATAGCTGTATAAAATTGGTACTGAAAATAATAGTAATAATCAATACAAAAATAATTATATTCTTGTTTTCCATTTATAATGTATGAAATTTCTATACTTTTTCTTAAAATATTTTGTAGAAAACTCAAATATCTGTTTTTACTTCTATTTTTGAGTAATAAACACTTATATATGAATTATTTTACAGGAGAAGGAATATATTTGAAGATCTATATATTGTTTATTGATTAACATTGTATTTTCTTGTTACTGTTCATTTTGTTTGTGTTGCTTTGTTTTGTGGTGCTGTGGATGGAACCCAGGGGCTAATGCATACTCATCAAGCACTATCCCCTTGACCTACACCTCCAGCCTGTATGTTAACTCTTAACTTGTATTTTGGGACAAAAGATGTATTCTAAAGATGAGGAAATGGAATGAGTGGCCTGCCAGGTATTGGGGCAACAGAGCAACTTGTACCCTGGGGAAAGTTCTCTGTGTCCCTGTATATTTTTTTTATAGCTGAGGTAGGTGTTTGCAGCTCATCGAGTGTACTCACCTTCTTTCTGTGAGATACCCTCTCTGTGTTCATAGATACATAGTTGAGCTGTTTTGTGGATAGGGATGGGAGTCGGGTTTTATCCCATTTCCTTATCTTCCTGTGTCCACAACACCACTGACAACTCATTTGTCCAGATGAGGTCTTGAGAACATTTTGTCCAGGTTGGCTTTTCAGTAATCTCCTTCTATATCATTCTTCCCAGCAGTGGGGATTACAAGTATGACCCACTATGCCAAGCCTCTTGGCTCTTTCTTTTCTCCTTGTAACATACCTCTTTTCCTGTAACCACTGCTCATATAATCACTTGTAGACATACTTAGACTGTTTCATTTATCATTCATTTCTGTGGAAGAAGGACATATGTCTTAACTGCCATTTTACAGACATGAATGGTAAGGATATTGGCTGTGGTGTTTGTAATACCAAATATTTGGAGGAACTGAAATGTGCTAAGGCTGTACTTTCATAAGGCACAGTTTGGCCAAAGAATGTGCTGAGATTGAGAGCCTGGCTCAAGAGTCCCAGAGTTCAAACTTCAGTACTGCCCAAAGAGAATTGTGGTGAGATCTGTCTATACTGACAATGGTAAGACACTGAGATGTGAAAAGTGAGAAATGCAAGCTGAGCAACAATCCCTATAGCATAATACTTCTTCTTAAAGCTTTTTTTTTTGTCAGTTGTGGGGCCTGAACTCTGGGCCTGGGCACTGTCCCTCAGCTCTTCAGTGTAGACTAGCGCTCTACCTCTTGAGCCTCAGCCCCATTTCCAGCCTTTTCTGCTTATGTGGTGCTGAGGAATCAAACCGAGGGCCTCATGCATGCAAGGCAAGCACTCTACCACTGAGCCACCTCCCCAGCCCAACATAATACTTCTTAAAAACATAAAGTATATGCATTTATGCTGCAGAAATTTGTAGAGGAGAAATAAGATAATGTCATTTATCTTGGGAATGTGACTGCTGGAGAAACAGGAGAAACTAGCTGGTAAAAATTTTGTGGCATACATTAAAAGGAAGGGGTTAAACCAAAGAATATAGCAACCATTTAGAAACTATTCATCTTTTATTTTTCTTCAGTACTAATGGGTTGTCCTTAGAACCTTATATGTCCCAGGCAGGCACTGCACCACTTGAACCATGGCAATATCCCATATTTAGCTTTATTTATTTATTTATTTTTGCCTATACTGGGGCTTGAACTCTGAGGACTTCTTCACATTTGGCTTTTTTCTTCAAGGATGTTGATCTTCCACTTGAACCACAGGTCCACTTCTGGCTTTTGCAGGTGAATTGGAGATAAGTCTCTCATGTGAAGAGTTTCATGTACCTTTCTGCCTGGGATGTCTTCAGACCTTGATTCTCAGATCTTGGCCTCCTGATTATCAGAATTATAGCCATAGTCATAGCCATGTGCCACAAGAACTGGCTTTTAGTTACTTAATTAAAAAATAGTTATTATAAGGGTGATATACAGAGGGGTTACAGTTAAATAAGTTAGGTAAAGTATACATTTCCTTTTGGACAATGTCACCCCTTCCCTTGCTCTCTTCCAGTTTTTCCCTCCCATCTCCTTTCAGTTACTTAAAAATAGACTTTTATGCTTTTTGGCTAGGTCTACTTCAGACTCTGATCCTCTTAGTTACTTTTCTCAAAAAAGCTGGGATTAAAGGTATGAGCCAACTTGCCTGACTACAAATAAACAAGAAACAACAAAAAAGAAATGCTAGTTTAAATTTATGTTGTTATTAGCAAACTTAATGGATTTAATTTTATTTATAGTAATTCTGTTGGCTTCATAAAATGTAAACTTTTAAAGAATTGTAGCTGTATAAGAGGGCTTCATTGTGATATTTCCCTATATGCATGTCATTTGTCCTAATCAAGCTCATCCTACTATCACTCTTTATCATCACTTCTGCCACCTTTAAAAACCTTTTTTTTTTTTTTTTTTTTACAGATTTCATTCCTCTATTCTTCTATGTTGTCCTCCCTTGTTATATCGCAGTTCTCTTGTTGCTTTACTGTATTGCGTTTTTTTTTAAAAAAAAATGTAAATAGTGATCCCTCACCTATCATGGGAGTTACGTTCCAGAGACCCCTGCAATAGGTGAAAATCTGCGAAGTAGCAATAAGTAAACCTCAATATAGTGAGCGACACATATAATAATGCTATTTTGTGGATTTTCACCCATTGCTGTTGTCACTGGACTGTAACTCCTGTGATAGATGAGGGATCACTCTCTCTCTCTCTCTCTCTCTCTCTCTCTCTCTCTCTATATATATATATATATATATATAATAGAGCACTTTACCTCCTTGGTATCTGCCCTCCTTCACCTTCTCCATTTACCTTTCTTCTTCCTGCTGATATCCACCTCCCAGTACAACCTGTTTCACATTTTTGTCACTTTTTTATTGCATGTTAATTGTACAAATGAGTTTCACCATCGTATTTCACACATGGATATATTCTATTTTGATCACATCAAACACCTCTGTTGCTTTCTCTTTCTTATTGCCTGTTACCCTGCTATTTTCAACAGCTTCCAGTGAATTTCCTTATGTTATCTTGTACTTAGATGCAAAGTATCATGATGTTGTTTGTCCTTAATCTCTATACTTCTTACCTTGTCCTCACAAACAACCCCAGGGTCACTATCATTCACTCAAAAATTTAGAATGCTTCACAAATTTGTGTGTCAGCTTCACACAGGGCCATACTAATCTGTTCTATATTGCTCCAATTTTAGTATATGTGATGCTGCATCAAGCACATGATGATACAAACAAAATAAAAATGAGAAAATTTAAATATTGTTCCTTTTTCTTTTGTTTTGTGCCAGTCCTGGGGCTTTAAAATGGAGCCTCGGCACTGTCTGTGAGATTTTGGCTTGAGGCTAGCAAATCTACCACTTGAGCCATAGCTCCACTTCTAGCTCTTTTGATAGTTATTTGGAGGTAAGAGTCTCATGGACTCCCCTGCCCAGGCTGGCTTCAAACCATGATCCTCAGATCTCAGCCTCCTGAGTAGCTAGGATTATGGGTATGAGCCACCTGTGCAAGGCTTCTTATTCCTCCTCCTCCTCCTCCTCCTCCTCCTCCTCCTCATGCTCCTCCTGCTCCTCCTCCTCCTCCTGCTCCTCCTCCTCCTGCTCCTCCTCCTCCTCCTGCTCCTCCTCCTCCTGCTCCTCCTCCTCCTCTTCTTCTTTAAAAAGCAAAAAGACATTTTTTATTGTGAAAATACTGTACAGAGGGGTTACAATTACATGGGCAAGATAATGAGTGCAACCTCTTCTTCTTAAAAAAAAAATTTCACCTTTCTGGGCGCCGGTGGCTCACGCCTGTACTAGCTACTCAGGAGGCTAAGATCTGAGGATCATGGTTCAAAGCCAGCCTGGGCAGGAAAGTCCGTGAGACTCCTATCTCCAATAAACCACTAGAAAACTGGAAGTGGCACTGTGGTTCAAGTGGTAGAGCACTCGCCTTGAGTGCTCTAAAGAGTGCAGGGACAGTGCCCAAGCCCAGAGTTCAAGCCCCACGACTGACCAAAAAAAAAAAATGTCACCCAAAGTGAAGGGATGATATTGTTTCCCAAAAGAAATATACTCATTACCTGACTTGTGAAATGGCAACCTTTCTGTATAACACCTTAATAATAGCAATAAAGTTATATTAAAAAGAGTTAATAAAAAGTGATAGAATAAAATAAGAAACATAAAAAAATGTATCTCCGATTGGCTTTAAACTTGAAATCCTTCAAACTTCATAGTTCTGGGGATACAGATGTGTGACTGAGTAATTTCATTTTATGAAATCAGTCCTATGAGTAAGTGAAAATAATAGCCTAGATCATTGGCTTCTGCCTATAATCCTAAGTATGTGGGATATAGATATTGAGAAGACTGATGTTCCACACTAGTCTAAGCAAAAAGTTCCTGTGGCACCCCCCACATGCCAGTCAAAAGCTAGTTTTGGTGCCATCTGTACTGCATTGTAATTTACTACACAAAAAAGGGTACCAGTCCTTTTTTTCTCATGAAGTGTGTGTGTGTGTGTGTGTGTGTGTGTGTGTGTGTGTGTGTGTGTGTGTGTGTCTAAGTTTGAAAGAGTAGACAGCAACTTGAGATAATATTTTTAGGATGTTGTAGGGCAGTATTGAGGCTTGAACACTGGTGATGGGAAGGCTTTTGACTGAGATAGGTAAGAATAGGATAGGAACTGAGCTAGATGAAGGAAATCAAGATTGTTTTGCATTTTAAATACTTAGTGAGTATGAAAGATGGCAAATAGTCAGCTGGAGTTCAGAGAAGAGCTTGAGGCTATTCATATAAAATGGGGCAACATGGGATCTAAGGAGAGGAGAATGACTGATACAGGAGAGAAGGATCAGTGTTGCATACCGGATAAGTCTAGAATTGCAAGAAAAAAATCTGAGAGCAAGCCAGAGGAGGTGAGATTCAAAGATAAGGAGGGATTGGAGGGATTGGGTGTGGGTGATCATAGGAGGTTGTACACCAAGAAGACAGAATTTGGTGTAGTAGTATGCAGGTTGGTAAAATTGGTAGAAGGATATAGGAAATCCTGTTTAATTGACTCATTTTTTCCATCATCTTAGGAGACAAAGGTGTTCATATGTATATCACATATCACCTTGCCACAGTATGTTGTTCTTGGATCTAATTTTTCCTTTGGATGTTTGAATTTCCTAGAACAAATACAAGTCCTGTGCTTTTGTCACATGTGGTATCTGAGATCTCTACTTCATGGTTGTTATCTAGGAATTGTAAGTATAGTCAGTGGCAAGAGTCAGAGAAGAATGTGCCTATTCTTTTTCAAAATAAATTAGAAATGATCAATTCTTGCCAGGCACTGGTGGCTCATGCCTGTAATTCTAAGTACTTAGGAGGCTGAGATCTGTGATCATGGTTCAAAGCTAGCCTGTGCAGGAAAATCCGTGAGACCCTTATCTCCAATTAACCACTTGAGTACTGTGGCTCAAATGGTAGAGCACTCACCTTGAGCTCAGAGACAGTACCCCGGCCCAGAGTTAAAGTCCCATGACTGACAAAAAAAAGATCAATTCTTGAAATGCTGAAAAATCATATATTCCATTTTACTATTAAATATAAATATAAGCATAAAAAAGAGAGCAAGGACCTGACTCTGGAGGCTCACACCTATAATCCTAGCTACTCAAGAGAGTGAGAGCTAAGGATCGTGGTTCAAAGCCAGTCTGGGTAGGAAAGTCTGTGAGACTATTATCTCCCCCAATTAACCACCACTAAACAGGAAGTGGCACTGTGGCTCAAGTGGTAGAGCACTAGCCTTGAGCAAAAGAGTTCAGGGACAGTACTCAGGCTCTGAGTTCAAGCCTCATGACTGAAAAGAGAAAAAGAAAGGCAGTAGAGAAGAGGTTGGCACTTCAAAGACAGAAGTTCTACTTTAAAACATAATGGCAAACTTTTGTCATTTTCATTGTTTAGTTACACTCCAGTGAGTATTATTCTTTGAGTCCTTGAGTCATGATTTTGTTAGTGATGTCACAACATAGTGATAATAATATACAGAAATACTGTAATTTATAGTGATTGTAGAATTAGAAGATCAGAAAAAATTAGTCACCTAAGGACCATCTGTTTTTTCAATATTTTGACAGTACCAAATTTACTTAATGAACATGTCATTATTGGGAATTGAATTTAGACGCTCACACTCTCACTTGGACTATTTTGATCAAGACTGCAATTCTGCCACTTGACTCATATTTTCACTCTGGCTTTTTTGGTGATTAAATAGCAGATAAGAGTCCTGTTGACTTTTCTGCCTGTATTTGCATCAAACTGAAATCCTCTGATCTCAGCAGAGTAGCTAATATTATAGGCTTCAGCTAACCAGCACCAGCACCAGCTTCTATTGATTTTTTTTTTTTTTTTGTCGGTTGTGGGGCTTGAACTCTGGGCTTGGGTGCTGTCCCTGCGCTCTTCATCTCAAGGCGAGCACTCTACCACTTGAGCCACAGCGCCACTTCTGATTTTCTGGTGGTTTATTGGAGATAAGAATCTCACAGACTTTCCTGCCCGGGCTGGCTTTGAACCACGATCCTCAGATCTCAGCCTCCTGAATAGCTAGGATTACAGGCATGAGCCACCGGCGCCTTGCTATTGATTTATTTTCTTTTGAGTTGTGGATGTTTCTTTGTTCCCCTGACTGGTCCCAAAATCCTGGGCTCAGTGATGATTCCAGGTCAACCTTCCAAGTAGCTGTGTCAGACAGACAGCATGTCTGACTATAATATTTCCAGTTCCCAATTCTAAGGAAAAAACCAAGGATCTAATACTCAACCAGTATTTCTGAAAATGTGGTCCTTTCGTTTACTGCATCAGAATTTCCTGGAGGAGCTTGTTAAAAATGAAGTCTGTGAGTGCTAGGGATCTAACTCTGCTATTGTGCTTGCTTAGGATGAGCAATGTCCCAGGTTGCATTCCTAGGACTACAAAAATAAATGCAATTTCTTGTTTCAGTCATCTCAGAGTGAGTCTCATGAAACTTGTCTATTTACTTTTCAGTAGAGAATAAGATCCTTAGAAGTTTCATTCTATTTGTAGCCCTAGTAAGTACCAAAGAGTAGATGCTCGATAAATCGCAAATCAGCTAGGTATAATCCCAGCTTCTAGGGAGGGAGAAATAGGAAGGTCTCAATTTGGTTGGTTTGAGCAAAAATATGAGACCAAGGTCTGGGATGTAGCTCAGGTAGTAGAGCATTTACCTAGCAAGTATAAAGCCTTGAATTCAGTCCCTAGTACTACCAGGAAAAAAAAGTCTAGTTTCACGTTGTCACCCCTCCTAGTTTTGTGAAGTAACATTTCAGAAGAATTTGGTGTTGGTTTTTTAGGTCTTTTTTAATTTAGAGAAATTCTGGTTGTCCTATATATTTAAGATTTTTGAAATTTGGTTGCTTATGATATTGGCAGCCCTCATTTGCAAGATAATCTTTTTTTTTCAGGGGTCTTTTGTCAGTGGATTCAAGCAGCAGTGATGATGATTTGGGATCCCGTAAGTAGAGTTCTCTCAAAACAAAGTGGCTTGTGTTGAAATATCTTTGTAGATATATGAAATGAGATTTGAGATGCTTTGTATGTGGTATTCCTAGGTTTGCCTCATATAAGGACCTCTCTAGATTGATGAAGTTTATTTCCCTATGTTCTTTGCTTTTCCTGGATTTATGTATTCCTGTTTATATATTCATTTCAGTTTTTTCTGGCTGAACTCATGGCCTCCTGCTGTCTTGGCTTTTTTTGTTGTTGGTGGTGGTGGTAGTGGTGGTGGTAGTCATGGTCATAGGGCTTGAACTCAGGATCTGGGCTCTGTCCCTGAGCTCATTGCTCAAGACTAGTGCTCTGCCACTTTGAGCCACAGCCCCACTTCCAAGTTTTCTAGTGTTTAATTGGAGATAAGAGTCTCACGGACTTTCCTGCCCAGTCTGGCTTGGAACCTCTATCCTTAGAGCTCAGCCTCCTGAGCAGCTAGGATTACAGGCATGAGCCAGCAGCACCCAGAAGTTTGTTTTCCTTATACTTTATGCCCTCCTTATTTGAGCTACATCTTTAGTTCTTGCTTTTTTTCTGTTCTTCCTAATTGCATGGCTAGCTTCCCAACTGAATCCTGTTTTCAGCCTTCAATGTAGCTGGAATTGTGGCAGGAACCATAGCCCCCTAGCTTTTTCTAGTGTTTTTTTATTTTTTTTTAATTTTTTGGTTATAGGGCTTGAACTTAG